CACAGGCCCGCCTGGGAGCCGCGATGCCTTTTTCCAGCTCTGGTGCGGACGATGCCTTCGACTATCTTTTCAAGATCATCCTGATTGGGGACTCCAACGTGGGGAAGACCTGTGTGGTGCACCGCTTCAAGACGGGGCAGTACAACGAGAAGCAGCAGAACACCATCGGCGTCGACTTCACCGTGCGCTCCATGGACATTGACGGCAAGAGAGTGAAGGTGAGTGGCCGGGGCCAGTCTAGGGCCCCGGGGGCCAACTTTTTTGGCGTTTCCGGCTCGGCCCTTTCTGACCAGGGCTGCTGGCGAGGGGATCTTCCCTCAGGAGGATGCCCTGGGGGGGTGCGGTCACCCTAACTGGGGTACGTGCTTGCCCTCCTGGCTTTTCTGGGTTTGCCTGTGGAGAGGGCTCACGCTTTCCTTGCAGGGAGTTCTTTGACAGTCAGCTCTGGTTTGGAGGGTAGGTCTCGTCCCTCCTTCAAATGTGGGGGTTTGAGCTGGGACACCGCGGAGGGAGAACCCTCTAATTTGCAAAGGCTCTACTTTGACGCATGCTTGATCTGAGGGAAGATGAAGACTCACAAGATAAACACCAGAAGAAACTGCTAGCTAGAACTTACCTCCATGCCCAGATGAAAGCTCAGATGCCTGCCCTTCACATAGCTTTGCTTTGCCCAGCCCTGCATCAGGGCTTCTTGGCTCTTCTTCCTTTCTTATTAAAAGGCTGTAAGGCTCTGTATCATTTAGTATGGTTGTCAAAACAGGGATTATTGGCCTCTTTGCAAAGCTGGATTTACTCTTGCAGCTTCCTCTTTGGTCTGTATAGATTGTCTTTACAAGGTATGTAAATGTCCCTTCAGATCTAGAGAGGGCAAAGCTGCGATGTGGGTGTAGTGGTGTGAGCTGGGACAGGTCTATCTGCCTTCTGGACAAGGGATTTCAAAACCATAGATGCTGATGGAAGCAGCATTTGCTGGTCTTTACAACTTCTATCCTTTCTCTTACAGATCCAAGTGTGGGACACAGCTGGTCAAGAACGCTTCCGGACAATAACCCAGTCTTATTACAGGAGTGCCCATGGGGCCATCCTTGCCTATGACCTTACTAGGAGGTCCACATTTGAATCCATTCCTCACTGGATTCACGAAATTGAAAAGTATGGTGCTGCAAACTTGGTCATGATGTTAATTGGTAGGAATCTAATTTTAAATACTATGTTGTATAGCTTTTTTTAATATGTGTATAAAACACCCCTCACTTCCCCCCACCTCCCCTTAAAGCATCTATAAACTATGCATTGAAGAAGAATTCAGTTGTAATTAAAATGGATCAGAAATTGTATCAATTTGATCCAAGCTTAAAAAATTAGGAAAGTCACAGCCTGGTCCTGATGGGACCAAGCCCATTGCAGGCAGTGAAATCTTTTTACTTGTTTCTTTCCTGCTGGAATAGTGCAACAAACTTGCTGCTAGTCTAGCAAGCAGGGACAACTTTATTGAGGTTAGAATTGCAGTTAAGTCTGACTCTGTACTCCTGATGCACAGGAATTTAGTGGCTCAGTAATTCAAGACGAAGGGGAATGCACAGCGCAACACAACTCCTGGTTCTCACCTTTCCTCTCTGTTCTTTTGCTATGTATGCACGCTGCTCTGTAATGGGACTCCGATCAGGTAAGACAGTAGATGGGGACATGGCGTTTGCAGAGCATGAAGTAGACTGCTTGTATTCCTCCTCCTCCTCGCTTATTCCACTAGCATTCAGGAAACTTTGCCCCTTGAGGAAAGGAATGGGTAGAAATTGCTGAGAATGGAGCTGGTAGGAAGCGGTGTGGTTCTTTCCCTTTGTATTTCAGGTTATTGTTGCTCTTCCCTCCCCCCAAAGAAGAAGCTGCAAATGGGAGAACTGGTGTAGTAAAATGACAGATCTCTTATTTACATTCCACTGCTGCTGTCTGTTCCACTGTGCTGAGAGCAATGCATGCAGCCCAAACTGGCTCTTGAGGATAGGCAGCGCTGAGCCCCACAGCACAGCAGGCATGGGACCTGACCTTCTGCTTGTGCTCCTAGCAAATTACTTAACTTCTGCCATGGTGGTTCTTCCTGTTCTTCCTCTGAAGAAACAAACAACAAATTCTGACCTGCATGTAACTGCGGTGCTTGCAGTGAGTAAGGAAGGGGGAGGAAAAAAAAAATCACTAAACTTTGGTAGCGTTTTTCTAACTTGTCTCATGAATCTAAAGAATAAGAACTATCTGTGTCTGTGCTGGGGGCTGGTGGTTGTTTTTGTTTTGTTTTTAAGAAAGAGGTTCTGAAATTGGTAAAAATAAAGCTTTTGTCAAGGATCCAGCTTGATGCTTTCTTCCAAAGCTGGTGCTCACTGCTTTACTTTGGCAGGAAGTCTTTGTACATTTAATAACATGTAGTCATGTTATCCACCTTTCTAGCATGAGCCTAAGGTTAAAAAGTTGAACTTTCCTATCTGGAACTGAAGGAGGAAATAGGGAGGGCTTTTTTTTAAGAACTCAAATAACCCTCAAGCAAGGTGTTATTTTTTGGGGGGTGGTTGCTTTATTTTTTTTCTCCTTTTAGAAAAACTGAAAGGGACTTGGCGGGGGGGGAGGGGAGTTGGCTTATATATGCTTCAAATTCAAGATCTGAATTTGATGAAGGGTTGACTTGAAACTATGAATGTAGATTTCAGCCAGGTACTGCATGTACCAGAACTGATGATAATTTCACACGTGCTGCAACTACTTAAATATACAAAGGTATTTTATCTATCATCTGAGGCATTTCATGACTTCTGACAGATTTTAACTAAACTGCTTCAAGTAAAAGTTTAATCTATAGGAATCTACAGGAACTTTTAAAGTATACATTTTAAGCATTAAGGTAGCTGGTGTGAATTCTTGTCTTTGACATCATCTTAAAATGACTGACCTATATAAATAGGTCATGTTAAAATCTGATCAACAGTTGAGCAGGTTCTTCCTGGGTTTTAGTGGGGATTTTCTGGAGGAGATCTGCTTTTAGACTAGAACATTTCAGATCTTCAGAGCGGAACATCCACTGCGAGATGTGTCAAGGTAGCTTGACAACAGCATAACACATGTGGCTTCCACTGAAGGTTGAGTGAGGAATAAACCTTTATGCAATGTTGCTTTGGTTTACTGTATGCAATCACTATAGCTACAAGATTTCTATTTTTTTTTAAAACTATTTAGCTTAAATGCTACTTAACGTTGAAAAACCCTAGGGAATAGGGACTAACAGTTGCTTCCAAGTAATCATTTGGCACCACAACCTACAGCAAGTAATTAGATGAACACAGGTTTTTACTTTTTGATTGAATTTTAACTCATTTGATATCATCATATGATTAGCTGAACTTTTGATCCACAGTATGTTTGTGGCTCTGATGTGCTCACACCTTGTTTTTTCCAGTAACTCTTATCCCTAACATAAATCTATTGTTTAACAAAATTAATGATGTGTTGATTTAAAGATTAATTTTTGAGAGACTAAATTATTGAATTATCTGTTTGCCTTCTTTTAAGGGAATAAATCAGATTCACTGGATAAGCGCCAAGTCCTATTTGAAGATGCCTGCACACTGGCAGAGAAGCATGGGCTCTTAGCTGTACTGGAGACCTCAGCAAAAGAAGCTCAAAACATAGAAGAGGTGTTCACCTTAATGGCTAAGGAGCTAATAGCCCGAAATACCTTACAGCTCCATGGAGAGAACTCTCAGAACAGCATCTATCTTGATTCCAGGCCAGTGATTGCCAGTCCAAGTGTGGAGAAGACCCAGTGCCTCTGCTGAAGAGAGATTTCAGAAAGAATTTGAAGTCATCGTTCTTCTGAGGCTGTTTGATTTCATTTTATTTAATTGATGAAAGTGTGCTATGTGGCCTCAAGCCATCTCTCTTGGTATCTCTACCGTGCAGTTTGGCTTGTAAGTATTGTCAGAAATCGTTGTTGCTGTTGGTAGCACAGGTTGCTTTGAACATTTACTTCTGAGCTGAGAGGACTCAGGAAGCTGCCAGCCCTTGCCTTAATCAAAGAGAACTGTAAAAATTATTGCCTTTAATTATATCCTTACATGATTTTCTGACTGTCAGAAGATAAATTTGCACCAGAGCTCTACATTGATTTGACCCTTCTAAGCTATGTTGTTTGTTCTAGTGCAAGCACTTTACTCTTTGCCAGGAGCTTTAAAAAGTCTGACACATGCTTGAACGGCACCAACGCATTGCTGCTTAAAATTTCATTTAGGGGAAGTCCTGATGTCAGGTGTGTAAGCCACCTCACCCCAAGGAACATAGAGTATATGATTTCACCTCTGTACTGACTTCCTCACCAGACAAACCTGGAGACATCCCTGGGGTTTCATAGCAGGCAGAATATGATATGGTAGTGGCCCAGCATTCTTCCTGGGATGAGGAAAGTTGTCATTTGTTTTGCTCTCTGATTATAAGAATTGCTTCCAGTAGTGACCTTTGTCTTGCTACACAGACTTGCCAGGAGTAGCAAAGCTTCCAAGGCAGCAGTAATGGCCTACATCAATGGTGGGGTGAAAGGACTTTTTTTCAATTTCTCCCTGCCCACTCCCCCAACCTTGTCTTGCTTTTGATGTGCTGATTTTAATCAACAGTTTTCAAGTTTTCTATAGTTTGTGTGATAGGCCAATGGCAGCTTGAGTATACCTGTAGATTTTTCAAGGGAGTGTTAAGAATGGATTCAAGCTCTGGTAAAACTCAGCAAGGGGTAGGATGGTTTAATGATGTAACCTCACCTTTAGGCCAGCAAAGGAATGGTATGGAGCATACCTGAAAGCTACCCCTAAGCAAGGATGTATGGGACTGAACAGCTTTGGTAGCAATAGAAGGTTTTGTATTGCTCCTCCCAAATGCAAGCTCTGCTACTGGGAGCTCGCTTCTTCTATGTACTGGAACTGAATGAAGGGCTTGGAGCTTATGGGTTTTTGTGTCTTTTTTTTTTTTTTTCCAGTAGATGGAAACAGGGAAGGAGAGGGAAGAAATACATACTATACAGAGGAAGCTTTTTTTGACTGCAGTCTACATGTACTGAAGTGTATCACTTAGTCACTGTTAAGCTATGAACTAGAACTCAACCTCTGTAATGATAAAACACAGTCTGGGTTACATGCAAAGAAGCCCTGGGATGGCTGTTGTGTTGCTAGCTTACCAGACTGCAGTCTACCCGTGTTTCACAAGTTCTTGGAAAAATAGGGAAAAACATGTAGCAAATATTTCTGGAAAATCTCATCTGAGAAGCAGACAAAATAAAGCAGAATGAATCATTGATTTTTAGTCTTGCAAATATTTCAATTATAAATGCCTCCTCTGGCTAGGTTCTCTGCTATCACATGCAAAGAGCAGGGGTTAATTCAGCTGTGTGTAAACTGAGGGAGAAATCTTCAATGCTAGCCTCTAAGCCTTGCTACAGCCTGCTGTGGAAAAAAAAAAAGCTTCATCTTCAGGCATCCCCTTCCTGATGTTTACTTTTTTAATCTTAATTTCACCTTGATTTGGTACTAGCCTGTTAGTTGCATTTCAGTTTGCATATTTAAGCAGCAGTAAACACCATAACATTTTAAAGTAGCTGAACAAGCAGCAATCCAGCTTCCAACAACTAGTTTCTATACCTTTGGGTCACTACGAAAACAGTCAAATGTAAGGGGTTTTTTATATTCTTATATGTTTAAAATCCAAACTATTGCTGGTAGTAGTTTGTAATGTAGCATTTTTAAGGGTTTGGTTTTTTTAGTTTCCACATGTAATCTGCTAGCAAACTTGGTTCTGTTTTAGATATACCAGAGAGTATTTGCAGCAAATACTAATCTTCCAGGAGACCATAATAGAGAAGTATTGTGTTCATCTTACTCTTTCATTAGCTGAGAATTAAGAGGAAGAGTCTTACCAGCAGAGTATTAACCTTTGTATGGTTCATTTGGTTTACTGCCTTAATTAGAGATTACTGGATGAAGTTGTTTTGCTCACTCTCAGTATGGCGACTTCTGCAGGCTGATGCTCCCTCAAGTGCCTGGTACCACTGGGTTACTGGGCTCTTGCTTTTCTCTTTCCCACACACATGGCACTCCTTGCAGACTGAGTCCCTCGCTGGCAGGAAGCTGTGCCACACAGGAGCAGGGAGAACAGGCTTGTGACTGCTCTGAGCTGCACTGTTGCCCTTCCTTTGACAAATGTTAACAGGCTCCTTGCTGCTCTTTCGATAAACTGGTCTTAAATATGTACCCATCGTGCAACTGAAACAGGAGTGTGGCCTTTTTTCCGATTGGCTCCACTGCTTGTGGAAGATCCCAGCTGGGATTCCCAATTCCCATTGGCTTCCACAGGGTCACTTTTTAAGCAGTCCTCATGTGAATGCCATTGCTAACAAGGTTGTTCAGAGTGTTTACCAGTAGGCAGTATTCTTCATGCGGTAATATGTGAAGAAAGCTATAAATTTTTAAAAACTCCCTTTATTGTAGCATGTTGTTCTAAGCGGTAAGATAGCAACTGCTAGATTAAAAAACAGGCACAATTTAACTTCTGCAGTTAGTTGTACCTTTCCCCACCACAGAGCAGATAGAAGCATACAGCAATGACACTGCAAGTTAACCAAAAAACCCATTAACTGCTATGCAACCTTATAGTAATGTGTTTGTTCCCCCAGCATCATTAATGTAAATCCAGTGTGCTTCTTGACAGCATCATTAATGCACTTGTAGAAAGCATAGCTTATTGTAATATTGTTGACAATGCTATTCTAAAAACTACTACTGTCCCACAGTTTTAAGAGCTGTACATCCAGCTTGAAGATGAGCTTGAGCTTATTTGTTAGATTTTTATCTACTTGGAAGAAGTATTTGAATCTTAGCTGTGGCACATTACTTGTGCTGGTATCACACCCATGCCACACTTGGGTGACTGAAGCAGCACCTATCCACATAAAAGTAACAAAAAAAACCCAGAAGTATTTTAAAAAGGAGCAAACTCTGACACCTCCCAGAAGCTGACTGCCTGAATAGGAAACATAACTGCAACCAGTGATGTGAAGCCACATGGCACTGTTTGTGTGGTCAAACTTTTCTTCATACATAGGGGACAGGCTTAATTAACAAAAGCTGAAGTTACTATCTAATCATTCCAGTTAATGTTTAAGTATAGTTGGAAAGGAGACAGAGAAAGCAATTTCAGGCCCTGAACAGAAACAGAGTGAGCACTGTCCTGGAGCCTTCTTTCAGGAAGGAGATGGATGCCTGTGTTCTTTGAGAGGGAACTGAAACTGAAGCTTCCCCCAGCCAGGTGAGTGCCCTAAGCCCAGCACTGGTTAGAGGTGCCCCTTCCCAGCTGTGGGCTGCCAACAGCCAGATTTTTAATCTATTATCTATCTACTATTTATCTCAGTTGCCTGAATACCACATTCAGCTCCAGGCAGGGGGGCTCTAATACTCATTGCTCAGCATACTGACTCCTGAAGCCATTGCTAAGGACTGGAACTGCAACAGGCACTGCCAAGATATCAGAATCCTTTCAGAGTAATTTTAGACAGGCCAAGAGCCCCTTTTACTTAAGAATAATTCAACTTTTAATAAGAACCTGCAGCTTGAGAGAGGCAGGACTTTGTTAACAGTCTTCTAAAGCACTTTTTCGAGTGCCGCTGTTCTAAAATCAACCTTAGACTGAGCCTGTGCAGGCAGCTGAATTACACAATCACATCAAGCTGTTGCCAAACAGGTGTTGACTCTGGCTTGACTGCAAGTGACAAATCACATATCCATAGATAACAGCAACAGCAGCAAGTCAGGGCAGAAAATTAGCATATTTGCAATCCCACATTTCCCTGCTACAGATGTGTCCATGAACATCACTGCTTATTAGTTTTCACTGCCATGTCTGTCTAGTTTTGTTTACCTGAAGTGAGACTCACCACAACTACAGTTTAATAATGCCTCTTCAGTGCTAGCATTAGAGTGAAACTGATGTTGTAGCAGCCCTGTATCTCTATCCTAAGGGATACTATGTGGACTCCCCCTTGTTTTAAGCAGCTGCAGCATTAGTAATTCCATCTATACAAGTTTTGTTCCAACCACGAGACAGCCCATACCTCACAGTATCCTCCAAACAGGAATCTATTTTGTACCTGCTGTAGCAGGAGAGAGTTGCTGTTGTATTTCATGAAGTGAACCAGGCCTCCCCTCAGCAAGGTTACAGCAGGCCTTGGGCTACAATGGGGGAAGAGCTGTGCTGTTGCAATTTGACCTAAAGCAGCAGACATGGTTGAGAATTGCTCTCTGCTTGTACCACATTCAGACCAATCAGAATGGGCAGTAGATGCTTATTTTGCACTTGCCACAAGATGGAAAATTTTGTATCAAACCATGTGTATATATATTCCTGCACAGGGAGGAAAGGCAAGACACTTCAAGTGTCTTTTTCTAAAGAATTTTGTTTTGAAATTGAGATTTTGCTGGTGAATGTTTATGGAGTCTTTATACCTTTTTCATCTTGACACTATTCTCCTTATCGCTTTGGTTTCCGTACCTTAATTATTCGCTTAAAGAGAATGCAGCACAGCCTAAGTTATCACCTTCCATATTTTTAAATTAAAAGTTTGCCTTAATTCTACTGAATTTATTCCTGTTTTCTTACAGAGGAAAACCATAGCAGCCTAACATAATTTACTTATTTCAAAGGCACTACTCTCCTCAGTCATTCCCATTGCGGAGGGTGTGCAACAGGAAGCATAGAAACAGGGCCACCACCCACAGGAATCAAACTGGAAGTGACACACAGCAGTACTGCTTGATGACAAACACATGCAGTTCTTTAACTCACAGAACAAGAACCATAGCCCACTTCAAAGCAAGAGAT